TTCTTTAAGGAATTGTCTGTTCTTACTCTTTGCTTAGATTTCAATCAGTATTCTTTTTCCCATTTTTATCTCTTCATTTTGAATTATAAAAATTTTTACATATAAAATCTTATTGCAGTTATGAATGTTGTAACTCTTACTTGCTTGCCTTTATTCTTCTTTTGAAGGCATTTTACCACCTATTTTTGCTTACTCTTTGACTTTTTTTTTTTTGGTACCGGATATTAAACTCGGGACCTTGCACTTGCAAGGCAGGTGCCAGAACCACTGAGCTAAATCGCCGGCCCTACTCTTTGACATTTGAATTAAATGTTTATAGTTGGGTTTTAATTTTTAAACACGATCTTTTTTTTTTTTTTTAAGTCTCGTTTATTTATTTATTTTTTTTTTTGGTACTGGGGATCTAACTTGTGACCTTGTGCTTGCAAGGCAGGCAGTGAGTCTCATTTAATCTTAACTAAAGATGTGTTTGATATTTTCCATCTATCCCATGTTTTCTATTAATTTTATGCTTTCTTGAGACTTTTTCTTGGGGGGGGGTGTTTGTGTGTGTGTAAAACCCTCTTGATCTAGGGGCTCAATTTTAAAATACACATTTAAGATAAATTTAAGCTTTTATTTTTCAGAAATGAAATAGTGACTAATATGATCTCCTTTCTCTCAGCACTTGGGGCATACTACAGTCTTGATTATTATAGCTAAATGATAATTTTTCTGTTTTGTGGCTTATACTTCAAAAACAAAATTTTTTTCTGCTTTTCTGACCTTATTCCCACAGTTCTTTGCATTGATAAACCTTTGTGTCTTTCACAATATAGCTTCCTCATTTTTGATTCTTTATTAATAGTAGTTTCATTGGCCAGACTATCATTGTGATTTTTTTTCCCCCCTCAAGAAAGTTCACCTAGGTGATAGACTTTCTGATTTGCTTTTCTGTCACCCTCATGTGGGAACCACAGCCCTAGAGCTCAGAAATTCTTTGATCAACTTTTATTGTATATGGTGACATAATAAATTGTACATTTCAGTGTACAATTTGAAAAGTTTGACACACCTGCACGTCTGTGGAACCATCACTGTGATCAAGATAAGGAACATATCCATCACCCTAAAAGTCCATTTGTATCCCCTGGTGACCTCCTCACATGCTCTATCCCCAGGCTCCCTCTTTCTGGTCAGCTGTCACACTCAGTTTACATTTTAAAATGAGATCATGCAAAATGTACTTTGTGTGGGGAGTGGTTTGGTTTGTTTTTGAGTGACAAAGTCTCACTGTGTAATCCAGACTGGCCACAGATTCGCAGTCTTCCTGCCTGAGCCTCTAGAGTGCTGGGATGCACTTCTGTCAGGGTCTGGTTTCTATCGCTCACCATGTATTTATTTTGAGATTCAGCCATTTTTGTGTGTGTGTCAATAATTCTTTTTATTGCTGAGAAGTATTCCATTGTATAGATATATGCATTTGGAAATTTGGTTTGTGTCAGTATTGAGTTATCACAAATAAAGCTAATGTGAACATTCATGTACAGGTCTTTTTATGGACATGGCTTTTGTTACTCTTGGGGAAATACCCAGGAGTGAGTGGAGTGACTGGGTTATATGGTAGGTGTATATTTAACTTTGTAGGAAATTCCCAAACTTCTACACTGGTTGCTCTGTTTTACATGCAGTCCCATCGCCAGCGTGAGAGTTCTAGTTGCTTTCCATCCTTGCCAGCTCTTTAAGTGTTGACATTATAATAGGTGTGTGGTAACTCATTGTAGTTTCAATTCACTGAGCATTTTTTCATGTGCTTAGTTAACATTTATATAATTGCTTATTGTAAAATATTGGGTTCTATTAAGGATTTCTTTTTCAGGTTATTTCTATTTATAGTAATATTTATTCAGGATACCAGTCATTCATCAGATATGTAATTGGCAAATATTTTCTTGTTCCTTTTCATGTTCATTACATAATCTTGGTGAATATGTTTTTAATTTTGATGAAGTTTAGTCTTTTTTTTCTTTATGACTAGAGACTTTTTTTTGTTCATGAAGTTTTTATCAAGTTTAGTCCTCTGTTGTTGCTGCTTTATGATTTTAATTTTTATACAGGGAACTGTGATTTATCTGTAATTAATATGATTATGTGGTGAGAAGAATGGATAAAGGCTCTTTTTTTTAACCATGGCTTTCGAGTGAGTGTGTGTGTGTGTGTGTGTTTCTGTAGTTTGTTCAGTTCCATTGATCTGACAGCACAACATTGTCTTAATTACTACAGTTTTTTTAAATTGTGGTTAAATGTATGTAACATAAAAATTTATATTTTTACCATGTTTACTGTGTTTAGCAGCAGCATTAGTACATTCACAGTGTTGTGCAACCACCATAGTCATCCAGCTCCAGAACTTTTTTTGTCTCCCATGCCAGAACTCTTTCACATTAAATAACTCCCCATTCCTCCATCTCCTTTCCCCTTGGCAACAATTCTACTTTCTGTCTATAAATTTGACTCTGCTAAGTACTGTACCTCATATGTGTGGAATCATGCAGAGTTTGCCTTTTGTGACTAGCTTATTCCACTTAGTCCAGTGAAGAATTAGTCAAGGTTCATCCATTGGAGTATCCATCAGTTTCCTTCTTTTTTAAGGCTGAATAATTCCATGATGTATATGAACCATATTTTGTTGGTCTCACCATGGACTCTGGTTGTTCACCCTTTCACTATTGAAATTATTCATTGTTGTGAATAATGTTGCTGTGAGCATGATTTCATACAGTATCTGTCTGAGTCCCTGTTTTCAGTCTTTTGGGATATATACCCAAAGTGGCATTGGTGGATCATATGGTAATTCTGTTTAATTTTTTGCAGAACTGTCATACTATTTGCACAGTGGTTCCACTGTTTTTCATCTCCACCAGCAGTGTACAAGGCCTCCAGTTTTTTCACATCCTTGCCTGCCCTTATTTTTGTGTTTTATTTAAAAGTGTAATAACCATTCTAATGGGTATGAAGTGATAATGTGATTTTGATTTGTATTTCCCTTTTGATTAGTGATGTTGAACATCTTTCAATCTGTGTCTCCTTTGGAGAAATGTCTGTCTATTCAAGGCCTTTACCCATTTTTGAGTCAGATTATGTTTTCCTTGTCAAACTGTAGGTTTTCTTTATAGAGTTTAGATATTAATCTCTTTCCAGTTATGTGATTTGCAAATGTTTTCTTCCATTCTTTGTGCAATAGATATAATTTTCATAGTAAAAAATTAAAGGAATTTTTAAGTACAGAAAAAGAATTCAGTGAATACTCACCTCCCAGAGATCCAACAATTAACATTTTTCTGTATTTGCCTTATCTATACATATATGCACACACCCAAATTATATTGCTGAACCATTCTAATTATATACACCCTTATAGGTTACCTACTATCTGCCTTCAAAAAATAGGCACTTTTCTCTCATCTGCCATTTTTCCCCGTATACATTCTCCAAAATACATTTCAAAATAATACACAAAGTCCGCCAAATGTATGTACACTTCAGGAAATGAAAAATTTGTATAAATATTTTAATACTAAATTTATTGAGACATCATGAGATTAATGCAAGTTACCTTTGCCTCTGCAATTACAAGAGGTCCTCAAAGTGGTAGCTATTAGCTTCCAGACATTAGTACGGTGAACTGCTGCTTGGATAACCTTGGTCATTGAGTTTACTGCACATGCATTTTTGTTTCTTCTCTAAGGGCCAGCAGTGTAGTGAGTTTTCTGCAATATACGACATCTTCTAGGGTCCCCCATACAAGAGTAACACCATCTGTAGAAAAAACATTTCCTGAAGTGTGTATACATTTTTTGGCAGACTCTGTATATTAATGGAGAGAAATACCATAGCACCAGTGCTTTTTCTAATTAAAATGTAGCAACCTGCCCTTGGTTAAGTTCACTGATGGTGTTCCTTGGAGTGCTGGCATTTTCTCACAAAGCATTAAGATGTTCATGTCCTTCTTCCCTTAAACTACAATGGTAGTCTCCAAACATCCTACTTTCTCTGTTTTGCTCTTTTAATTCATCATCTGTACTGTGGCCAGAACATACTTTAAGCCATGTCAGTCTGTTTCTTACTCTTTCAGATCCCTTATGTTGTATTTAGCATACAATATAATCCAGATTACTTATCATGGTTTCTTAAATGGACCCAACACAGCCTGGCGCCTGTCTAGACCTTCAACCTTATTCTCAAGAGAGCTGGGTAGATCTGCTGTCTGTGTCTTGAACATACCAAGCTGGTTCCTTTACTAGGACCTTTGCACATGCTCTTTTCCTTTATTAGCACCCATGCCACTTGTGTGTCACTCTTTTCCTTTCAAGTTTTAGTGTAAACGTTAGCTGTCTAGTCAAGTTTTCCTCATGACATATTAAAGTACATCATCTATTTATTCCCTTCCACAACACCTTTGCAACACTTTCTAAATCCTTTTTCAGTGTGTACATACTAATGTCATGTTTGGATGACTCTCTCCCTCCCATCCTTGCTGTGTCCTAAGCTCCATGACAGCAGGGACCATTAGACATGACACACAGCTCACAGTTGCTGAGAGGTGGGTGGTGAGGGGCACACATGGTCCCACAAGAAGTGGCCATGAAGAACGCTCTTCTAGGATTTGTGTTATTTGGCAAAATAAATCACATTATTTTATATTATTGTCACATGTGTTTAAAACTTGATCCAAATTATTTTCTCATTTGAATTACCTAATTTAAAATTAGATAATGACCAGTCATTTCATATGATTTGGGGATCAATTTTAATCTGAAAATCCAAGTGTATATTAGATCATAGTTTGGTCCTGGGGATCAAACTTGGGACCTTGTGCTTGCAAGGCAGGCAGTGGAACCGCTGAGCTAAATCCCTGGCCCAAAGTTGAAGGTACAATAAAGTATTTGGATATTCCATATGTATGTAGTGTAAAAACATTTGATTTTAGTATTCTCATCATGGTTTTCTTCCTTTTACAGACTGAAACAACACTTGGACTCAGTTCATATCAACAGAAAAGGTAAGGCTTATATATTCAATAAGATATTAAGATACTTTCAGATCCTTCTGGGGGATTCCTGCAGTTCTCTCCTTCACTTCCCTAGGATTTTGTTTTGTTTTGTTTTGTTTTTTGTGAACAGGAAATAGCAAATTACAAATTGCATTGTATCATGTATTTCTAAGTATTATGTATGGAAAACCAAGTCTAAATCTGAATTTGCTTGTGATACAATTCTGTAGTATGCTTCTGTGATAGTCCGCTTTCTGTTACTATAACAAATGCCTAAGAAAATCAACTCATGAAGAGAAAAAGGTTATTTTGGCTCACAGTTTTAGACGTTTGGGCCTGTGGCAAGGTAGCACATCTTCGCAGGAGCATGTGGCAGAGCAAAACTGCTCACCTTATCACCACAGAGCCAAGAGAGTAATGACGGGGCTAGGATCCCACTAACCCCTTTAATGGCACACCTCCAGTGACCTAAGACTTCCCCCTAGGTCCTTCCTTTTAAGCTCCCAATACCTTCTCATGGGGACCAGGCTCCAGCACAGGGACTTTCAGGGGACATTGAAGATCCAAACTGTAACTCTCCCCCATCATATACAGAAGGCTTTTACTCAGAGCTGACATTCCCCTTGCTTTGAAAGAAGAGCATCTCTGTGACTTCTCTTGTGGCCACTGCTACCTTTTATGGCTGCCCTCACTTCCCGGGGGGTCTGCCTACAGGCAGAAGCTCAGAGCTGGGGAATACAGTCTTATGATTCAAAGAAGCCTCTTTTAAGTACTGCTTTTCCTGTGATGCCAGGGGTTTCCTTTACCTCAGGTATTGTGAAAACACATACATGCATGTGAATTTCAAAATGCCTGCCATGCCTTCCTATCCCTAAATTTTTGGTCTTTCAGTACCTTTTCATGTCCCTCAGAGAAAAGGATAAAAGGAGGATAACTGGCCCGATTCCCTTTCCATATCCAGGCAATACCTGCTGCAGAAGGGGAGTGAAAGTTGTCTTTAAGACAACCAATCCCATTGCTTCTCGGCTTTTTGGCTAAGATCGAGTGAAGACAACCAGTCCTGCCCTCAACTGTTTCATGTTCTCCCCAGACTCTACTGAGTGCTCCTTTCAGGAGCCATAGACTTAAAGGAGCTGAGCTCAGAAGGCTCAGCATACTGGTGTAGTTGTGCTTCTGTTCACCAGGAACAGCTGGCCACCCCCCAGCTCCTGTTCTCATGAGTGCCCTTGAGTAACAGTTGGAATGCGGGCAGTGCTGTCAGTGGGTTCTCAGATGGTGAGCCCATTGTACATATTGTAAAACTCAGTCATTTTACAGTGAGTGTTTTTAGGAGTATATTTTATTCTGAAGAGATACCTATTCCTGAAAAGAGAGCAAAATTAATTTATCTTTAAAAATTATCAATAAGTAATCTTATGAAATCAGACATTTAACAACCAAAGTGGTGGAGGCAGCACAAGATGCCCCTGCTCTCACTGTCATCACTGCAGTCCCATTTGGATGTTACAAGAGAGGGAAGCATTTCTTCTTCATGTACAACTGCGAATGTCCCCAGACCTGCAAAATGCAGCCTATATCAATAAAGAATTTTATTTTCAGAGAAAGATGTCAAATACTTATGAGTAGGACAGTTAAAACTTTGCTTTTTCATAGATGTAATGATGAAATCCTTCAATAATTGCCATTTTTGCTTTTTCTCTCTCTCTCATATCTGCAATAATGTGACCCCTTTTCTCTGTTGCACTATCTGTCCTGATACATGTGCACTGTTGGGACCTGCCCTGCCTATAAACGCTACCCAGTATTTTTGGTACTAGGGTGCATTGTCTCCAGGCCCATGTGAGTCTAGCCTGATGCCTCCTTGGTTGGAACATCTGAGAACTCTAGAGCTCACTGACACATCTAGAGCCAACATAGCAGAGATAAAAGCACACCTATTATCTTGTGCTTCTTACTTGATCCTTTATACCAGCAGATAGGAAATTAGCTATAGAACTAAGCTGATTTACATTAATGAAGATGATGTTTTCATCTGTGATCAAAATCTAAGTATTAAGTATTTTCTCAGTATAATGAAGAATTTCCATCAATGCATAATCAGATTCTCAGTTCAGTTTTCATTTACCCATGATCTGTAGCTAACAGATTAACCCAGACTTGGGGCATAAAGTTAGGAATTCAGGCAAAGCACAGCAAAGATAGCTTGTTTGCCTTATAATGATTTGAGGTCTCAGCTGTTGAAACTTCAGTCCTACAAATGACTCAGTAGCTGGGAGTGGAGGCTTGGTCACTCATATTTTGATGCTAGAGTATTAGCTGTGACTTCAGCTGGCTGTCACCTGGAATGCTTATATGTGGGCCTATATGTGTGGGCTTTTCATATGGTCTGGTTTGGACTTCATCTCAGCCTGGTGGCTGGATTCTAGGAGTGAATCTTCATTCCAAAGAGAACCAGTGAAAATTGTATCACCTTTTATAACCACCCCTAGGAAATCATACAGTTACTTCTGTCATATATTGTTAGCCAGTAAGTTCAGTTTGCAAAGGCTCAAGACAAGGGAGAAGAAACCTCCACTGATCGAGGACAGGATGTCAGGATTTGCAGACATATTTTATAACCAACATACTTCACATTTTGTATGTGTGACCAACACCATGAATTAGATAAACATTTATATCAAATTTGTATGCAATACCCATATGGCTCTGGATTAGGGACAAAAACACATCTTAGCTTTGCATGCCATAATAAAATACCATAGACTGGGGTACTTAATACCACAGACATTTATTTGTCTTAGTTCTGGAGGCAGAGAAGTATCAGGTTCTGGCTGACTTCCTTCCTGGTGAGGGCTCTCTTCCTGGTTTGTTCTCTTCTTGCTGTGCCCTCACAGAGGAGGAAGGAGAGAGGGATGAGAAAGAGGGTGAGAAGGAGGGCCAGAGATGTACAGACACACACACAGAAAGACAGAGGGAGAGAGAGGGAGAGAAAGAGGGGCAGAAAGCTCTCTGGTATGTCTTTTTTTTTTTTTTGCTACCGGGGATCAAACTCAAGACCTTGCGCTTGCGAGGCAGGCATGGTGCCACTGAGCTAAATCCCAGGCCCTGATATCTCTTCTTATAATGACACTAATCCCATCATGGAGACCTCATCTAAACCCAATTACCTGCCAAAAGCCTCACTTCCGAATACCATCATACTGGAATTTATAGGCCTTCAACGTTTGAGTTTTGGAGAGACAAAGCTCATGATATCATTCAAGTCCAGCTTTAGATTCCATGCCTATCAAACAACTAAAAACTAAAGAGCTATATTTATGCATTACCCTTATAAGTCATTTTAAAACACCTTTAGCATAGAAAAATAAATACAGTATCCATATTTACCTAGCACATGAGAAGAGTTTAGCTGTGTTTTTTTAATATGTGGTTTGGTGCTGCACATTCTAAACATTGTCAGAGCTCTCAGTAGTTACAACTTTAATGAAAATGTATATGTAAAATAGAACAAAGTAAAATATAGAATTAACTATGTCTAGTTGTATAACAGACATTATAATTTTTTCAGTTCAAAAACTATTCTATGTGTCAGAATTTGGATTTGGGTTTGCAGATTTAAGATGAAGCCTATCATATAATCAAAGATGGTTTTAATTATAAAGAGACCCCAATCATCTTGTTGAGCCCCCTTGCTGAATTATTAAGGAATCAAAGGTCTAAGACATGAGGGATGTTAAAAGTGGCAGAGTTAGACTGGCCAATTTTCTGATTGATAGCCCAGTGTGTCATTCTCTTCCTCTAGTCTTACATCAAGTATGGAATCTTTCAGCATTCACTGTATTTTCTGTTAGCCAATATTTGGCAAGAGGACTATGGTGTAAGAATTCGAGGAGAAAGGCTGTGAAGTAGAGAAGCCCCCTGAAGCATGTGCAAGGCAAGTTGCAGTGATTGAGCATATCCAGTAGAGAAGATGTTGGTGAGAGAGATGCACAGCCAGCTTTTAGTTTCTTAGAGTCTGCTGTGTGCTGGCCTTATCCGTACACTCCCTCTCTCCAGGGTCTTGAAGGAGAGTAAAGAAAGCACTTCTGATGAGATCATAAAGTGTGTGTTAATTGGCTAAATACAGTCCACTTTGTGAAAGCAGTGCATTTGAAAGGGTGTTGTAATCAGACTCTGTAAGCCTCAGGCTTTACTTATACAGAGTCAAGATGCTAAAAGCACCTGTGATCTCTGTCAGCAGAACAGTCCACAGCCAAGGTGAAGGTTAGCTTCTGGCTCCAGAACCTTGTCTCTTCACCCTGATCTACACTGTCTCCACTCATCTGTCCTGTAGGGTATCCCAGTGCATTATAGACCATTTCTGCATCAATCTCTCACTTCATTTTATTCCCCAGCTGTACAGTCCTTTGCTGTCCTCTGGCTTTTCCAGTAAAGCAATAGGGTGAGCCTTGTCCTATCTCGTACTGCCTGTATAAGTCAAATCTCTCATTTTGTTCATGAAACTTAACCTGCCCAGGGAATTTACAGCATAAAAATCTTAGTTTAATGGAATGATTCTCTAGGTAATAGATTGATTGGATGTACTGATGCAAACCTCTGGCTACTATTTGATCTTCATTGTCCCCGTACCTGTCATTGTCCTCCACTTTAGCTTTGGGGTAAAGCTGGCTTTAAGAGCTTCCAGGACATTCTGAAGAGGAAGGAGCTGATGCTTACACAAATTCAGGATTGTGGGTAGTAAAAACCATGAAAAGTAGAATTTTCCAGGATACCCTTCAGTCTTCTGGTTCACTGTGGTTTTTTAAAATGTGATTATTACATGAAAATATTTTTGCTTTAAAAGGCACTGTTTGCATAATAGATGCATATAGTATTCCATGTGTTTATTTAAGTTGAATGTCAAAAATACTATATTGGATGCTAGTGTTAATATGTTGTGACCTGAGGCCGCCTCTTAAGGGTGGTCTTTTCTTATGTATGGAACACTGGTGGGAGATTTGGAATCACAT